GTGCCTGGTGTCAATATAAATGAAAGATTGGCCAGCAGAAATACTAAAAAGATAGGGAGATCAAGTTCTGACTGTTCAGAGTGTCAAAATACCCTTTTATGTTTGAAAACTCAATGTTGGGCGGAATTTCATAGTATATCCTAATATCTATTTACGCGGATCCTTAATTAGGGTTTATATATAACCCTAATACCAATGAATACTCAAAAATACACTGATTATTCAATGAGATCTCGTATAATATACACTAATGAAACCACGCTAATTTTGCACAAACCTACGGACGAGGAGATAGTTGAAGCCTCATTCTTGGTGATGCTTTCATTTATGTTGTTGTCTGTGCTCTTGCTCACACTTCTGGCCATTCTGGGACTGCATGTGCTGTTGAATCTGATGTGGGTTTCACCCTGCTGGCTCTCCATCTCTGACTCCTGGTTGGACGGGTTTGACGTCCAACGGCTTAGGGTCCAGCGTGTTCGACTAATGTTTGTTTTTCTCTGTTTAAAATCACTCCAGAATGAAGCCTTTCAGTTTTTTTATATATTTTGCTATTTTTATTTACTTTGTTGATCTAGTAACCCTAACCGCTCCGTTGCCTGGGTGAAAATATAGATATTTAGTTGGGTCTGGTTGGGTTGATGGCTTACCCCATCAAACATCGCACCTCAACTCATTGACTTTGACACTAAAATTTAACCCCTTCCCGGCGGAATTATCGCTTTTGATTTGGATATGTTGTATTTCATATCCACTACGGCCTACATGCAAAGTTTGAAGTCAATTGACTCCGTGGTTGATTGGACGTTCAACGTCTGAAACCAAATGGAATGTACGTCCAATCTGCCCTGCTCTGATTGGTCGGTTTTCTAAGGTTTTCAAACCCTAAATGGAATGGACGTCCATTCCACCCCCACCTGTTGGATAGGGTTGATGGGTTCATCCAACGGGTTCGGGTCCAATGGGCTAATGCGCTCCTTGGACGGGTTTGACGTCCAACGGGTTGGGTCCAGCGTGTTCGACTTCCAACGGGTTAATGCGCTCCTGGGACGGGTTTGACGTCCAACGGGTTAATGCGCTCCTGGGACGGATTTGACGTCCAACGGGTTTGACGTCCAACGGGTTTGACGTCCAACGGGTTGGGTCCAACGGGTTCGACGTCCAACGGGTTGGGTCCAGCGTGTTCGACTTCCAACGGGTTAATGCGCTCATCCAACGGGTTCGACGGCCAACGGGTTTGGGTCCAACGGGTTTGACTTCCAATGGGTTAACGGGTTTGTGCTCAATTTAACCATCTATTCTGACCTCACTGCCCACCCCTGTCTCTAGCCTCACTCTTTGTCAACCCTAACCCTGACTCTGACCACCTCATCCTTCCCCCCAGCCTCTACCCTCACTCTTTTGTAACCCTACCCTCTGTCTCTTGCTTCACCTGCCTTTATATATATATACATCTTTCATCCTCCTGTGGTGCCTCTCACCCGTGATGTGCCCCTCACCCATGATATCACTTTGAACCTCTGTACCCTTCTAAACTTCGATCTTTCCCCCCTCCTCTGTGCCTCTTGATATAATCCCTCGGCAGGCCCACAAAACCCATTCTTCCCACCCGAGCCGGGTTGTGGCTCCCATG